CTTATTCTAAGGTGAAAAAAACTCATTCCACTGACAAACCATTTTCTTTTCCTACTCAAATTTACTGTAAATACACTTAACTTAAGAGCAATTTACATGGGTTCCTCAAATAGGATTCTAATTCATGATATACAAATCAAAAAGAAAAATACTAACAAAAATCCAACCCAGTACTGTTTCCCTCTAATATAAGCATTATTTTTGATTGAAGACTGCATTCCTATCAAACTACTGCAATAAATTGCAACGTGCATAAGGTTCTTCACCATGTGCTGCCTGAGCAGCAGTTTGCTCCTTGGCTCAGGACCTGCCCACTGAGAGTGAACTCACCCACTTTCTGGAAGCTCTCCCTGATCTCCTCCAGCTCCTCGGCGCTCACCTTCGTAGACATGCTGACGACCTGTGGGAGAGGAAAATATTTCAGGCATCTTTTCTCCTCCTGTTGGTTGAATAATTCATGGCAGTGCAAATCTGACTAGAAGAGATTCCCAGCTTCTCGACCATTTATTCACAAGTATGGCTGCTATGTGTGGGGCGCCGTTTGTAAAGTTAAGCAGTCAACAATTAGGAGCAATATTTATGGTCATTTTTTCACTATGTCATTTATTCTTTTATAAAAATCTTACTTAAATAAATATTGCAAACTAAATATATAGTCTGGAGCTAAACATTTATTTAACAAACTGAATATTTATTTTGCAAACTAAATATTTAGCTCCAAACTAAATATTTATTTAACAAACTAAGATTTTTATAAATGAATGAATGACATAGTGAAAAAATGACTTGGAAAAAAATAAACCCCTTATTATTCTTCATTTTAACTAGTGTTGCGACAATGTAAATTTTTAGCCCTGATACCTGGCTGTGCACTATTGGCCGATACCGATACCATACCAATGCCATCTGCTTGAAATTGATGTGTATATATATATATATATATATATATATATATATATATATATATATATATATATATATATGTATACTACGTATTTAGTATTAGCTAAAATCTAGTGGAGCTGGCAGTACAGAATGACAGTGTGGAGCTGGAGTACACCCCTTTACTGGCTGGGAGGAGTTAAACTTTTAGCTATCATCTTTAATGGCATCAAATTATCAGCAGTGAGCCTGACTGACCAAAAAACAAATAGACAGTTAGATGGAAGCATTAGGATCCCCACATTAAAACAAACAGCAGATTTTCTTTTGTCTGTTTTGTTTGCAGTATCACACAAAAGAAAAAAAAAAAAGGAATGATGATAAAAAAAAAAATTCTGTATACCCAGACGTATCAAGGACATAAGTAGCTTTTTTTCTGCACTTGTATCTAATCTTACTTTGAACACAAATATCTGTATTTTCTTTCATGAATTTCTTCAGATCTGCTCCTTACTTCTATACGTAATTGTTCCGTGGAACAAAATAGGAAGATAATCTGTCTAGTTTGAACCCTGTTTGGTTCATACAAAAACACTGATAGAGACATGGATGGAGGAGAGGAAACACTACAGATTCCTTCAGGTTCTACTTCAGATTTTATGATATTTGCAGCTTTAATGCTGTGATAATCCCACAGTAATGCTAATGAAGGACTGCTGGTCAGTTCAATCTATTCCACCCTCTCTGAAATATTCATTCAGAAAAAAATAGACAGTCTGTATGTTTCATATTCACTTTACAACCCAGTGAGGAAAAGAAGAAAATTATTTTACATGTATTAGCATTTTTATTTACTTTCAACTACCAGTCTTTTGTTTTTTTCCCAAAAAGGCGTCTATACTTTGACCTAAGAACGAGTGTAAGAACACCTCTGCTTGCACTGAAAAACAACCCATCTAGAAATAAGTAAAAATGTCTTAAATTAAGTGACTAAAGTGATTAAATGACTAATCTAGATTTTTATTTTTCCAGTGTGTCTGTTATTCATAGATCAAAACAATGACAATACGCTCTAATCTGCATAATATTTAATAACAGCAGCTGCTGATCCCAGAGCAAGAAAAATATCAACCACCCCTCATCAATAGAGCTGCTGCACTGGACAAAAAAATCCAAATCTACATAAGTCTTTTTTTTCAAAGTGCATTTGTTCTTGAATTAAGGAGGTAAAAGAGATACTTTGTCAATGGAACAAGACAATTTAGATTTAAAATAAGAAAAAACAATTGCATTGTCTTATTTCAAGTGCATTGTATCTAAATATCTTATTTTAAGAGTAAAAATACTAATTCCTTTAGCAAACTATCCAATTTACCTACTCCAATTAAGCGTAAATAAACTTGTTTTAAGACATTTTTTTACTTATTTCTAGATGTTTTTTCCAGAGTCTGTCTAATTTCTAATGACTTTTTAAGGATATGTATTTATGTAATGTCACAGACTTCCTGCTTTCCGTAAAATGGTGGCTAAGGTGCATCTTACTTCCACTAGATGTCGCTGTCTAAAGGGAAATGTCATTAAATCCTGTGGAGTTGATGACAGCAGTGCTGCAGTGGGTTCATCCAGACTAGTCTGAGCAGACTGGTCCACCTCCTGCACCAAGTCTCAGCTGAAGCACAGTGTACAGGTGCTCATCTGGCAGACCAATTAAAAAAACAACAACTGTGAGTCTGTCAGGATGGTTGGTAGGAACATCATGAATTCATGCCCATCCTGCCAATCATCACACAGCTTGTAAGCTGGATCTGTTTCCTTTCTCAGCTGAACATCTGTCTTAGAATATTAAGCAATTCTATGATGTTTATTTCTACTGCACTGCAGAGCTGAGCTGAATAGATGATGTAACCTAGATTTCCTCCCTGCTTGCTCCTAAACCCTGTGAGTGATCATCTTCTCCTTACCTGTGGTCTGCTGGATTGGTGCGGTGAAATGTGTCCCTGTCAGCCTGCCTCTGCTGCTCTGCCCCGGCTTTTAGGGCTGACACCGCCCGGCTGCTGGAGCTGCTCCTCCTCCTCCCCGCCTCCTCAGGAAGGAGGAGATCAGGGAGGTTCCTCACTGCTCCTCCTGGAAGATGCTCACTGTTTTCCTGCGTTGATTGCTCTGTTGCAATAAGATAAACCCCCTCTCATTTTATATAGATATAGAAAAGCAATCATCCAAAAACTACATTTTTTTTGTTTGTTTTTTATGCATGAAAGTTTTTATCTACATTTTTGATATATATATATTTTTTTACCAAAGCAAAGATTAAAATTCTGCTCATTATTCTGATTTACATCTGGATACTTTTCTCATGAAACGTGGTGTTTACAGACTCATTATGTGAAGAAAAATATATTAGACTGCAGGGTTTTAAAGTTATTTAACTTTGAAATTAAATAGATTTTTCCAGAGGTGTGCGTCCACAGACATTTGCATGCCCTGCCGCGGGCACGCGCATCGCTCAGTCGGTCTTCATTGACCTCATCATGGGACAATTTTCAAATGTATTTCAATTATGAGCACACTTCTTATTTCTGTGTGTAATTAAAAAGCGTTTTCCTACAGATTAAATAATAATTAAGAGAAGAAAACTAGGATTTTGAAACCTTTTATTAGTAAACTTTCTGGTTTATCAGCCTCTAGAACAGCGACTATATTAAAGAGACCTTTTAAATTAGCGGTTATAAACAGTACCCTATTGTTAAATAACTTAGAAGGCAGCTAAAATGTATTGAAATGGTTTAAAAGTTTAAAATACAGGTTGTGTTGACGAGTTTTAACAACAAATAATTGGTAGTGTTACACCGATACTGATACCAGTATTGGGCGGGGCCCAGATCCAGCACTAAAATGGTGGTATTGGTATCGGCGAGGACCAACAAATAGGTCACTGATACCATTTTGAGAGCCAGAAGTTTATTCAACTATTGTCACCCATTCCAGGTAGCCATGATGGTGATTATTTTACATCCAAGTAGCATGCAGTTCTTCATATATACACACACACATCAA